ATGTACTCACCATCAAATTGGTATTAACTGATCAACACATAAGTGCACATATAAGAATAACATCTATTGGATGTTGGGCAGGGGGGAGGAGGGAGGAGGGGACAGGTATATGCATACACAAAGAGCGCAATGCGCACCACCCGAGGGATGGACACACTTGAAACTCGAACTTGGGGGGGGAGGGGGGGCAAGGGCAACATACGTAACCTAAACATCTGTACCCCCATAATATGCTGAAAAAAAAAATTTATGTGCATTAAAAGCATAAAACAAAATTAAATAGCAAATAAATTGGAAAAGGTATAAGATAAATTAATAATATCCTTAATAAACAAAAAATCCATATAAAAACAAGGAAAAACACTATAATCCCAAAAGATAATTCAGTTAAGAATATGAACAGTCAATACCTCAAACTGGAAAATCAAATGGCAGTAAAATCATTAACATTTTAATGTCACTAACAGGGAAAAAAATTATTTATCAAATTAACAAAAATAAAAAAGGAATACTTAATGCTAATGAGGGTAAAGTCAGATGCACTCTCTCACTACTCCCAAGAGAATACAAACTAGTAATCTAGAAAGTAATCTGGCAATATGTGTCAAAAGCCTTATTAAAGTTTATACCCTTTGACCTAATGCTTCTTAATGAAATAATCACAACATGAAGATTTATTTTAAAAGATATTAATCTCAGCATTATTTATAAAAATGGAAAAATAAATACATTAAATCTCTGATAGGCAAATGATTAAGTAAGCTCTAGCATATTCATCAAACTGAATAGGTATGTGGTCATTAGAATTGATGCTTATCTAGAAACCCAGTAAGAATGAGTACCCCAGCTCCTGATTGTGGTTGCTAAATATCGCTTCCCACAAAAAGGACTGAGATTTTTGGTAGAAATTATTGTTCCCAGCCTGGCGTGGGAAATGTGCATGATTAGCCTAGGTATGTATTTAGTGTATATAAAAATAAGTGATTTATACTAGAAAACAAGGAAACTCAAAAGACTAGTGGAATGTCTCAAAAAGATTCAGGAGCCAACTGGAAGAGGCTCTCACTGGCAAAGATGGGATCATCTGAGCATCCATAAGAATAATAGCTGCAATAGATTAAAGCATATAAAATATGCTTTTAAATGTCCATATGAAATATGCTTAAATCAAAATGTCCATATAAAATATGTTGAAATCCATAAGATCATAACAAAACTAAAAGTAAAACAAAACTTACTGGCCTTTGAAGGATCATATTGAAAACTAGTACATAAAAGCAAAGAATAGAGCATTTATTCTGTCTTTCTCATTCAAAATGTACTTCGGTGTAACCAAATAGTTTGGTAAAGAGACATATTCCAGAATGACAGGATTATATTATCATAATTTAAAGCTCCCACTAAAATAATGGATTTAGGGAATAATCATCAACTAATATCCCAAAAAGAGTGCTTGCTATAGAAATACACAAAACCACCCATAAAATTAATCCTAAACTCCCCCTTCCCTACCCTATCAAAATGGAATTGGATTTAACTTTCATTTTATAGGAAATATAGAATTCAGAGGAATATGTTCAGAGGAACAAAATATGGGGATGCCATCAGCAAAATCCACTGAGAAATTCTACAGCTCAAATTCTTTTGGGGGCAAAAAAAAAGGGAGTAAGTTTTTAAAAGAGATGGAGGTGGAACCTATAGATTAGAAGTGACTTACGATGTAACAACCACTTGCAATGTGTGAATCTTATTTTAGATCCTGATTTAAACAACCAACTGTACAAAAACATTTAAGATCCAATTGGGAAAATGTGAACACTGTCTTAATACTTGATAATATTAAAAAATTGAGGGTGTCTGTGTATATGATTAACTCTAGCATAGTTCTGTTCAAAACTCTTCTTTTTAAAAAATAAATACTGACATATTTATGAATAAAATTTCACAATGCTTGGATTTGCTTCCAAACAATCTAAGGAGCAGTTAGAGGTATAAATGAAACAAGACTGCCATTAGTTGATAATTTTTGAAGCTGGATGATGGTAGATAATGACTCATACAGTATTACCTCTCCTTTTGTTTATGTTTGAAGTTTTCCATAATAAAGGTTTTTAATGATAGCTATATATGTTCTTAATGGTACGGGAAATTGTTTACCTTGTAATGTTAATTGAAAAAATATATATAAAATTAAATATAGTGATCCAATAATGTGTGTGTATGTGTGTGTGTGTGTGTGTGTGTATACACTTATTTATTTTTTTTCTGTAGAGACAAAGTCTCACTGTGTTGCCCAGCCTGGTCTCAAACTACTGGCCTCAAGCAATCCTCTCACCTTAGCCCCACAAAGTGTTGGGATTACAGGCATGAGCCACCATGCCCAGCTATTTTTAAATCTGAGGAAAAAAGATTAGAAGCAAGTTTGCCAGAGTGTTAACAGTTATCTTTGGGTAGATGAATGCTATTTTCCTTCTTTATACTTTTTTTACATTTCCCAAATTTTCAAAACTTACACTGACTCATTTTCAGGAAGAAACATTTTTGGAAAACAAAAATTAAGTTGGCACGTTACAAATGTTAGTGTTGTCATCATGCACATCAATAACTTAATGGGCTTTCATAATCGCAAAGGGAAATTTTAAATTGAAAGGTAGGGGTGGGAACTGCCTATAAATATTTAAGAGTACTTTATTAATTCCCTGGCTTATTAGCTAAATACGATTCAATGCAATTCCATCAGCAGCATCCAGGGATAAGCCAGAATAATCCTGGAAGTATAAACTGAGATCCTGATATAATGTAAATGTGGAAATCTGCACTCACAATTTGCCTAACCTAGTGGTTCTCAAACTTCAGCACACATCAGAGAACCATCTAGAGTTAAAACACAGATTGCTGATTCTCACTCCCAGAGTTTCCGATTGAGTAGGTCTGAGGTGGGTTTGAAAAGAATCCGCATTTCTCACAAGTTTCCAAGAGATGCTGATGCTGCTGGTTCTTGGACCACACTTTGAGAACCACCAGCATAAACCAAAGTCTGTAGATAACAAAACAAAGCTTCAAATCTCACTTTGAAAACCTTTCTAAAAATCAGCTTAGCCTACCAAAAACAGAGTGGGATCAGCACTTCAAAAACTCTAAGATGAGATCTAATAAAATGTAAAAATGGGAAGAGGCATTACAGATGTATTCCCTTGTATGCACGCACAGCAAGGTGACAACAGTGTTAACACATGTAAAGAGGGGAAATACCAACAGAAGGAGGGTGATGAGCTAAAAACAAAACAAAACAAAAAAAAACCCAAAGTGCAGAAAAGCAGGTGTCAGCATGGCATGAAAAGGTACAATGGATCTAGTCACCATGAGTACTCTGATCCCCAGAGAAGTTTTCTTTCCTCTCAGGAAAACAGACATATGTCATGGGGGTCCACCATGGCCTGATAAAACCCCCAAATGTCTGTCTATCTCCTTTTACTCTAATTCCATGCTGACCAAGGAATTACTGACAGTCAGAAGAGGGGTACCTAGACAGTAGATACAAGTATTCCAGTCACTAGGAAAAGATGATGCTCACTGGATGTTAATAAACTGACTTCTGGTTTATACCTAAGTCCCAGATGATTTTGGTTTGTTTCATACATCATCAAGTATCTGATCATCCCTGAGTTGACTATGACTTTTCAGTTTCTGGACTTAAGAAATTAAATGTCTAAACTACGGTGACTCAATCCAAAAGCTACCCCATCATTCCTATGTGATACATACACAAGAGTTAATAAAATAGACACACTTAAACTAAAGCCTATGTTCCACACCCTCCTTACCTTTGCAACAAAATAATCCCACATACTAAGTTCAGGAGGAATAAACTTTTCTTTGTAAGATGGTCTTTCTGCAGGCACTGGTGGTGGAGTAGCATCTTTTACAGGCCTTCCAGGGACCAGCATTCGCATGTTAAATCTCCTGCGGTGTTTATCTATGTCTTCAGAAGAAACAGGAGGTGCTGAATAAAGATACAAGAACAAAATCAGCATTTCTTTTCCATTATTAATTCATACAGTCAGCCTTTCTTTTCATCCTACTTTTTCCATGTTCTAGACGAGACTAAATTACTTCTATCTGTGCTTCTAAACTTTTCTAATTACTGCAACAGTTTTACAGCAGCATTAAAGGCTCCCTTGCCATGACGTAGCCTATGTGCTGTATACAACAGGGATCAAAGTAATTCTGTATATAATGTATTAAATAAATGGTATATTCAATAAGTATTAATGCAAGTAAATGATTATTTCTGGCTATGTGGTTCAAGAAAGAGTCACTGTATATGTAGGATATAAAAGTGTGCCTTAAAAGAAGGGCAGAAGCTCAAAAGGAAGATGGGAAAGGACAACATAAACAAATGACCAAAGGAGGTCTGGGTAAACCACCCCTGCTAGACAGCAGTCAGGGAGGGGAGTAACAACAATGAAGTCTAGAGTTAGGCCCCAGCCTGTGGACATGAAGCTGGGAACTAACCTTATGGGCTGTTCTCACTAAAGCTTCTTAAGCTTTAGCCACATGATGAGGAATGGTTTGCTTGATCAGAGAGGAAAATGGAATAAGAAGACATAAGAATGGCCTCAACTAATATGGTGGGTGGTAAAAACTAGAGGAAGCGTTAGACATGAAAGATACATAAAAGAAATATCAAAAGGATTCAGAAAATAATTACATATGGGAGGATCAGAAAGTAAAAGTCAACCTGCTCCTCTCCTAAACACCCCATCACAGAAAATGTTAACTTTATCTCAACTCCCATTTCTCCCTTACCCACACAATTCATCAACAAATTCATCAGCTCTCACCTCAGATTTTATCCAGAATATGACCACTTTTCACTCTGTCCATTACTACCACCATAGGCTAAACCACCATTCTCTTTTTAATTGAGGTGAATTTTATCTATCATAAAATTAACCATTTTAGAGTGCACAATTCAGTGGAATTTAGTACATTTACAATGTTATTCAACCACCACCTCTATCTAGTTCCAAAGCATTCTCATCACCAGATGATGATTCTGTCATCATCAGAAGGAAACCCTGAACCCAATAAGCACTCTCTATATTTCTCCCTCCCCTGAGCCCACAGCAACCATCTTTCTGTCTTTACAGATTTACCTATTCTGGATATTTCTTATAAATGGTGTTAGACAATATGAGACAATATGAGCCCTTTTGTGTCTGGCTTCTTTGACTCAGCATAATATTTCTGAGGTTCGTGCAGACTGTAGCATGTATTAGTACTTCATTCTTCTTTATGACTGAATAACATTCCACTGTGTGTATATACCACATTTTGTTCATTCACCCTTGATGGGAACCCACAATTATCTTTTAGGCAAACTATTACAGTAGCCTCCTACCCAGGCTCCCTGCTTTTATTCTTGTTGCACAGTCTATTCCACAAAGCAGCTAAAGCAGGTCTTCCGAAAACCTAAATCAGATTGTCCATCTTCTGCTTAAAACCCTCCAGTAGTTTCCTATCTTTCTTAGAACAAAAACTGAAGTCTTTCCCATGATCTATGAAGCCCTAAATGACCTTACCCCCAGCTACTTCTCTAAGCTCACCTGCTACAACACCCCCCCAACCCCCACCCTCATTGATGATAGCCATGATGGCCTCCTTGTAGTTCTTGGAAAAAGCCAAACTCAGTTCTGCCTCAGCACTTACTGCTTTGCACTCACTAATGCATCTGCCCCAGATACCTACATAGTATGATTCTGCTCAAATGCTGTCTCACTAGAAACGTGTCTTCTGACTACCTTAACTAAACTGGTCCCACCCCCATTCCCTCATCACTCTCTTTCCACTTACTCTGCTTTATTTTTTATCATAGTTCTTGTCATTCCTGAAATTTTGTTATGTAAATTTATTGTGTAAATTAACTAGATGTAAACTTCATGAGGGTAAAGGATTTGTCTGTTTCGTTCACTTCCATATCCCTAAAGCTTAGAACGCTGCCTGGCAGATAGTAGGTGTTAAGCGAATGAATTAATGTAAACATGACTGTTTCCTGGAAGGTTTTAAGCATAGATGATGACTTGACGGATAAAATTATCACAGACAAAACTCAGAAAATTCAGGAAGGGAAAGAAGAGATTTGGGAGGAAAACTTTTAAGTTAATAAGACTAAGAGGCATCACACACAATGGAAACGGAAGCATTGAGAGTTGGTGAGATCACCTCCCTCACGTTAACTCACACAGGAACCTATACACTTAACTCAGGGCAGTAAGCACAGAGGTTAGAACTTACATCACCTCAACTCTCTGTGCCACTGATTCCTGATCTGCAATATGTCCATTTCTAAGGATGAATTAAGATGATTTCTATGTTTCAGCACCAAAATTGAAACCTTTCAAGTGGCATAAGTCTATATACACCACCATATCCTACCACCTTAAAAAGTAGAATGAAAAATATATTCTGGTCCATAACAGAAGAAACACAAGGAAAATGGAATTTAAAAATCATGTACAACTATTTTATATATAACCATAAACTTAATCTGAAGCCAACTGATGGCATGCTCTGTAAAGGTCATAGAAAAAGATGTAAAGATTTTGATGATTTATTTAAATCTTCTTTCTCTAATTAATAATTATCCTAGGCTGAGTGTGGTAGCTCATGCCTGTAATCCCAGCGCTTTGGGAGGCCACAGCAGGAAGATGGCTTGAGGCCAGAAGTTTGAGACCAGCCTGGGCAACACAGCAAGACCCCATCTTTAAAAAAAATTAGCCAGGCATGGTGGCACACACCTGTAGTCCCAGCTATTCAGGTGACTGAGGCAGGAGGATCCCTGGAACCCAGGAGTTTTGAGGTTCCCATGAACTATGATCACACCATCACACTCCAGCCTGGATGACAGAGGAAGACCCTGTCTCTAAAAAAGGAAAAGAGGAAAAAGAAAAAAAAAAAAAGAACTATCCTTTTTCTATGGTCTTGTTCCTTAACATTGTCTCTTTAGTTATCTTTATCTTTCCTCTATTTATTTTTTAACCTCTTCAAACATGTCCTGCTTCATCATCCTCAAAAATGTTACTTCTATTAATATAAAAATAAAAGTAACAAACTATATTTTTATTCTAACACGGGTTTAGTTATTTACTGTCCTTAACAAGCATGACTAAACATCACTGATTTTCAAAATAAAATTTCTTAAAACATTAAAAAATCTTTAACATTAGAAATTATTTACATTTACATATATTATTGGTATCAAACTTCTCTTACCTGAAATATTTTCTGACTGTCTTCGAGGTTTCACGACAAGTTTCACACCCCCTCCAAAAACAGCAGCCCACATTCGATTATTTAATGGGTGGGCTGCAAGTCGAAACAATTCATTGGAGGAATTTGTGGCAAGAGCATGTATCAATAAACTTAAATAAACAGCAACAACAGCTTCACATAACAGAATGTTCAATTTTGGCTGGTCTTCATCTTGAGCTGAACTCAAAAGATTAATAAGTGAGCTCACACCTGTAAGGGTATATAATATCATAAGAAGTATATCAGGAAAAAGTACCAGAAGGAAAAAACACTAAAATTTGCAATTTAATCAAAATTATGTATCTATATGCTACAAAAATATTTCCACAAGTTGAGCAACAAAATAAATAATAATAGGAATAGTTTATAGCCTATAAAGAATCCATTAGTTGATAATGATATAATAAATGAGTGAATAAAATAAATAACAAGGGGAGAAAGAAAAGCTCTTCCTTACAGTAGAATTTCAACTAAAAAGTAGAAAGAGTGATAGAATTAGAAAATCGCCACCTAGTAACCCCACTGTAATATCTGATTCAGGCAAGAATCATCACTAGATACTAAAATTAGCAGGTGACAGGTGAAAGTATGATATTTTACAGTCTCAAACTATCTCTTCAAAAGATATGATTAATTACAAAGGAAAAAAAATAGTAAATTTATTAAGGAGGAACTTGGCAGAAACCACCTTACCAAATGATCAAAGTTATAGGACAGGAATAGGACCAAACTGACATCAAGTACCTCTTGATATTCTGTACTGAGAAGGGCACATCTTTTTTGTGGTATCCCTGCCAAAAATACATAACTTGAATTTAACATTAAGAAAAAATCAGAAGCTGGGCATGGTGGCTCACGCCTGTAATCCTAGCATTCTGGGAGGCTGAGGCAGGAGGATTGCTTGAGGTCAGGAGTTCGAGACCAGCCTGAGCAAAAGCAAGACCCCATCTCTACTAAAAATTAAAAAAAAAAAAATCGGCCAGGCAACTAAAAAAATTAGAAAACATTAGCCAGGCGTTGTGGTGCATGCCTGTAGTTCCAGCTACTCGGGAGGCTGACGCAGGAGGATCACTTCAGCCCAGGAGTTTGAGGTTGTTGTGAGCTGGGCTGATGCCATGACACTCTAGCCTGGGTGACAGAGGAAGACTCTGTCTCAAAAAAGAAGAGAAGAGAAGCGAAGCAAAGCGAAGCCCAAATTGAAGAACATTTAAAAAAAATAACTGGTCAGTACTCTCTAAAAGTGTCAGTCATGAAAGAGAAAGATGGAGGAACTTTACTCCATATTAGAGAAGTGAGATTTTGCAACTAAACATTTACACAGACCAGAAAAAGGCATTAGTGAGACAACTGGTGAAATTTGAAAAAGGTCTGTAGATTAGACAACAGCACTGTACCAATGTTCAAATGTTACATATGATAACTGTGTTGTGGTTATATAAAAGAATGTCTGTTTTTAGGAAATATACACTGAAATATTTACATGGAAAAGGATATCATGTCTGCAACTTACTCTCAAATATTTCAGGAAAAAAATTACACTCTGCCATACACACATAGTAAGTGGGTGAGACAGACAGAGAGGGAAGGAATGATAAAGCAGGTATGGTATAATGTTAACATTTGGGGAATATGTGTGAAATGTTACACAAAATTCTTTATACTATTTTTACAATATTCTTTAATTCTGAAATTATTTCAAAACAAGAAGTTAAAATGAAAACACTATATTCCTAGAAACCTATCCTTAAACTAATTTTAAATACACACTTAAGGTACTAAAAGGAGTGGAGAAAGTTTGAAATAACTGAAGTGGAGAATGAGAAAGATGGCTGACCGGAGAAAGAGAAGGACTGACAGCATGATATATGTACACCAGAATGGTCACTCCAATCTTTATAAATTTACATTCCTGAGAATAACTGTATCTTCCTATGTGTAAAGCTATGTCTGTGATATTGCTAAGACTCCAATTCAGAATTTCTAAGGATAAGAAAGAGATGATGTGCTTACCCTTAGGAATAATGTTAAGACCTTGCTTTTCTATGTTGGTCAAGACAGTTGGTTTTTGAAACGTCAACTTTCTGAGTCTTCAGACAATATTATAGTACTTAAGAATTCCTAATCCATAGCAGAAATCATCAAAAACAAATAAAAAACCATTCACCAAATCCACAAACAGCAGCAATCAGAAAACCAGTGAGTAGCTTTTTAAAAAGGAACTGACACCAAATAGAAGATCAAAAATAAATCACTTAAATTCTCACCAGGCCACTGAGCAGGAGAAGAATTTGGTGTTGCATGTTCTTCAATGCTTTCTGTCCTCAGTCTTCGACGATCACTTAAAAGAAGTCCTTGGTAAGCCATTCCTGTAAACTGATTTCCTTCTGTTTGGCTGCTGAAACAAATAGGTTCAGTTATTTACCATCCTAAGGGAGGTAATAATTCTACTTTATGTACATCATCTATTTTAGATGATTATTAAAAAACAAAGATTCTTAAAAATAA